GTATCATATGATCTCACTGATATGAGGAATTCTTAATCTCAGGAAACAAACTGAGGGTTGCTGGAGTTGTGGGGGGTGGGAGGGATGGGGTGGCTGGGTGACGGACATTGGGAAGGTTATGTGCTATGGTGAGCACTGTGAATTGTGTAAGACTGATGAATCACACACCTGTACCTCTGAAACAAGTAATACATTATATGCTTAAAAAAAAAAAAAAGGAGGAGGATAGTAGGAAGGGAAAATGAAGGGGGGGAAATCGGAGGGGGAGAAAAACCATGAGAGACTATGGACTCTGAGAAACAAACTGAGGGTTCTAGAGGGGAGGGGTGTGGGGGGATGGGTTAGTTGGGTGACAGGTATTAAAGAGGGCACGTATTGAATGGAGCACTGGGTGTTATACGCAAACAATGAATCATGGAACGCTACATCAAAAACTAATGATGTAATGTATGCTGATTAAAATAACATAATAAAATTTAAAAAAAAAAGTAAGTTATCTATCCATCCTCTAGAAGAGGGAGGGGTAAGCAAACTACAGCCTGCTGAACAACTCAGTTGTTTGGTTTACCGTTCAAGCGAAGGAAAGTTTTTACATTTTCAAATGGATGGGAAAAAATTACAAACAAAATCACTCTAAACATTACTATTTTTAAGCTATTATTAAGTAAATAATAATAACAACAAGAAAAGGCCTCCTTAGCATGAACATTTTTTTTAATGAACATACATTTTAATTGGACAAGTAAAAAATAAGAGCTGAAATCAATGGTAAAGTTAAATGCCAAAAGGAATAGAAAACTCAGTCACATCCAATGTCATTGATCCTCCAAGCTAACTCATCATCTTTGAGGGAAGAGAAAGGCTGACATAAAGGAAGATATTTGGAAGTTACTGTAAGATGGAAAGTGAAAAAATGCAATTACAGGACAGGAAGAAATAAAAATGCAAAAAAGGAGCAGAATATGTTTAACTTACTTACAAGTAGATAGGAGAAGGAAGGAAATGAGAGAGAAGATGTAATAATAGAAATCATAAAAGGCAGAACGAACACAGTATAGGGTGCTTATGGGAAGTATAAATCAGCAAAGGATAAAGTCTGATTATAATACAAATAAAAACAGGAGTTCAAAATCTGTCCATTACTCTCCTCCTCTCCCTCCTTTCCCATAAGGCCTTGTTTGATTTTGAGAAAACATTATAAGGAAAATGTTTCAAGATTTTATTAAGTGTCTATAAAGAGTCTGCTCCAGAGATTAAATAATTGCAATGTTAAAGGAGCAAAAGAAACAGAAACCACATTTGGAGAACTTACACACCCTGACAGGAAAGGTAAACCTGCAAGAAGATTAAATTACTAAAAAAATTACAAAGTAACATACAAATCAAGTAGATAGTAATTCTGTTGACAGAAAGAAAGGAAGGCAAAGGAATTCATATTCCAGCTTGTTAAGAAGGACTATAGCATGAGCTTGAGAAAAATCTGAAACACCAGGAGGGGAAACTGGAAAAGGAATCACACAGGGATGAATAAAAATAAAGGCAAGGAGCATTAAAAATATGTATATATAGATAGATGGTTAGGCTTTCCAGTACATTATTAGGAGTGAGAATGAAATTACTGACAATAAATTTCTGGCTGTAGAACAGAAAATGAAGCCAGAAGGAAGGAGCCAAGTTAGGAAAATAGGCAAAAATGAGAGACTAGTCTAATTATAGTCAAAAATAAAATATGAGTATTCAAGAGGCATTATAAATTAGAGGAATGTATTTCTGTGGTATTTCAGTAAAGCATTCTCATGACTGGATGACTGTGAATACATGGACAATGGTAAAATTAAACGGTGAAGTCTAAGTACATTTTCTACCCTTTAAAACACAGAAAAAGAACTCTCCCAACAAATTACCATCATATAAAAACCAGGATAGAGGACAAAATCCATCATGATAAACCTGGAGTCTTAGCAAGCTGAAGTAAAATCATTATTTCAAGATTCCAAAAAGAAATACTTGAAGGATTTAGAATTACAAAAATATCTAAAATATTTCTTAAATACTACATAATAGTACACAAATACCCACCCTGAAATTTACATTAGAAGGAAAGCCACACACACAAAGGCATTATAGCATTAAATGACTGGCTGATATCAGAATATAGAATTTCCAATTCAATCAGAGTTGGTTGACTCATAGTTCAAATAGAATTGGTTATATCATATCAACAAAGTAGGACTGGCATGGACTGACAAGGAAATTACCTCTTTATATAGGTCTACTATTTGTTAAATTGAGACTTTGGCTGTGAAACTATTTTCTAGCCTGATTAATAGCTTAGGAAAGAAAACAACTCAGGCTTCGTATGTCTCCACTTACTTTTAACTATTTATATGCCTTTAATTTAAGTACTTACTAATATCATCTTCATGATAAATGACAGAATGAAAGGGCAGAGTTCGGTCTTTAATATATCTCTCTGCTGGCTCAACATAAAACGTGCCACCACGAGTCTGGATGAATCCTTCAAATCTTCCATCAATAACAGACCCATGGCTAAAACTTCCTTCTTCACCTATTAATGAAAGCAACAAACACTTGAAAAATTAATTTGCATGTAAATGTTAAATTCATTCTCCTTTAAAAAGCCATTCTATTTTAAAAACCTGAATACAAATTTATTAGGGAAATTAATTTTCACATAAAATATATCAAGAGGAATTTGAGACGTGAACAGCAACTAGTACTTAGTTAAAATCTATACAATTACTAGATAACAACAGTGAGAAATAGAACATCTGTCTCATTGACAATCATATTCCCAGCATCTAAGCACAGTACCTGGCAAGAATTCAATAGTCATTCAATAAATAACTGTTAAATTAACTTAAGCTCAGAAAGAGGCAAGCAGATCCACTGATAAAATATGCACTTCCAAAATAAAGATATTAAAGTATCTTTTGAGGAGTGCCTGGGTGGCTCAGTCGGTTAAGCGTCTGACTCTTGATCTCAGCTCAGGTCTTGATCTCAGGGTCACAAGTTCAAGCCCCGCATTTAAAAAAAAAAAAAGAGAGAGAGAAGAAAGAAAAGAAAGTATCTTCTGAGGTTTTGCTCTAATTACCATAAGTAAAAAAGTTCTTTTCCCACCTAAAAAAAAAAAAGTTCTTTTCCCACCTGATATAATTTGCATGAAACTTTTGGCTTCCTTTTTTTTTTTTTAAAGATTTATTTATTTATTTGAGAGAGCGAGAATGAGAGAGAGTACATGAGAGGGGGGAGGGTCAGAGGGAGAAGCAGGCTCCTCGCTGAGCAGGGAGCCCGATGCGGGACTCGACCCCGGAACTCCAGGATCATGACCTGAGCCGAAGGCAGTTGCTTAACCAACTGAGCCACTCAGGCGCCCTGGCTTCCTTTTTTTATAAATACATTTTTTAAATAAGAAAGTACCAATTATTTCAGAAGTAGTTTGAACAAAAGCATACCAACAATCCTTCTTAAGATATTGGATTTGTAATACTGTCCCATCAATTATAGTTCCCTAGTGAAAGAAAATACAGGGAAAAAAGGGTATTTTGAGATATTTGCAAAGAAAAGCTGAGCGCCAACCATCAAATGACATAAAGAAGTGGAAAGTAGGAGGATGGTACGTTAAAAGTTAAATTTACCTGTTAAAATTTTCTCATTAAAATAAGTATCAGGCTTTCCACAATTTCTAAATTATAGATTAACATTAATTAATTGACTGAATTAACTAAGGACTGATGCTAAGAACCCAAGACACTGGTATTTTAAATGACATGATTTCTATCTACAAACTCATTTAGTCTTGTACTTTTCTTGACCATCGCCTAGCAAAGAAGGGCAGACACTACAAAGTTATCTGCCCAAAAAGATAAATGATCAAAGGAATAATGGTTCAGGGGACGCCTGGGTGGCTCAGTCGTTGGGCGTCTGCCTTCGGCTCAGGTCATGATCCCAGGGTCCTGGGATCGAGCCCCGCATCGGGCTTCCTGCTCCGCGGGAAGCCTGCTTCTCCCTCTCCCACTCTCCCTGCTTGTGTTCCCTCTCTCGCTGTGTCTCTCTCTGTCAAATAAATAAATAAAAATCTTTAAAAAAAAAAAAAAAAAGGAATAATGGTTCAATATTAAAAGCCTAGACTGACGGAAAAACACTTTCCTTTGTTTACAAAACTACAAGAGTACATAAGACTTTTTATTTATTAATGCCTCATTTATCTGGCATAATAAAAAATTAGAAACATTTTTAAACAATTTTCCATAATGTTATGATTTTGAGTGGAAATCTCTCTAATATGTAGAAATTTAACTTTCAGTTAACTTTGTCTTAATAACTGAGAATCATCTTCAGTATTTATTAACATACAGTTATAACAATATTTCGACCCTCTCTAGTACCTCCAGAAGACTGACTGTTCTTTCCACACTACTAAACTGTCAAATGTAACTTTCTCTTGGGTTAAGTGTGCTCCCCATCCCCCCAGTATCTTCTTAATCAGTTGTAGTAAGGGAACATTTGTTAGAATTGTGAACACAGCAAATAGATTCTGAGGCAGGAAGGCCCTGAAAGGATTTTTTTATGAATGACTTTGTCACATTATTTTTGGCTGTTAAGATGATCTTTATAGTTTCCCTTTAAGTTTCTTCTCTCTTCTTATAAAACACAGGTAATGTTTTGCTTGAAAGATCAGAAAATTAGTCATTAAAAACTTTTTAAAAAGGAGCAGAGTGGCGCAGCGGAAGCGTGCTGGGCCCATAAAAACTTTTTAAAAAATTAACAGTTTGTAGGTATTGAGAGAATCAAAACTACATATCTTTCAAAAGCCAGGCACTGTATAATCAAATATTAAATATACAAATAGAGAGAGGTCCAAGGGCTACTGTATTCTTCAAAGACTGTTATCCTTCGTGATATATTTAAATCTCCTCGGGATTTCTCCCACCTCTCTGAAATATATGCCTATAGCTCAAAATACATGCATTTCTTTGTGTAGAAAAAAACTAAAGAAAGGAATTCTTCTAAGATTCAACTTACCATAAATATGTCCAGTGTAAATATGAGAGGTATCATAATCAAGTACTTCATTTGATGTTTCTACTTTAAATTCATCACTGAAAAGGGATGTATCCCTCTTCATTCGTAGGTTGAAATGTCTGCAAAACAGGGTGGAAAAGGGAAAAAATGAAATTAAAAGGATCCCAATTTTAAACTTTTTTTTTAATTAAAAAGTCTGCAAAATATAAACTGTTTCACACCATTTGTCTACTTGGAAATACACTTTACAAGATTTTTCTTATAAAAATTACGCTCCAAAATTCAACCTAGTAGCTGCGATACAAATCTAAATTATATGTAATTAAACAGTAACTGTCTAAGATACATTAAAAATTAAATGCCGATAGGCTGATTCGTATATGGGGTAAAACAAGTTAATTCCAACAGCAACTAAGTTGCTTGGACATAAAAACAAGCTTCTTGACCCAATTACTATTATTCACCACTACCTGTCTTCCCTCTTTAGTAATTCTGCAGCTTTGCCATTTTCCCCTACTTTTCACAACTTAAACAAGACATTTAAAAAGTGGCATCTATATTAATGACTCTCCTTCAGAAAAGCAAGTATGCATGTTCTTTTACGTATACATACACACACATCCCCTTTCAACTCCTGTATGTTTTCCCTATGGCTTCTAATTCTTCTAATTATCATTAGACCATCCTCAATTTGAGAAGCCAAAGACTGGGCACCTGGGTGGCTCAGTCATTAAGCATCTGCCTTCAGCTCAGGTCATGATCCCAGGGTCCCTGCTCGACGGAAAGCCTGTTTCTCCCACTCCCCCTACTTGTGTTTGCTCTCTCATTGTCTCTCTCTCTGTCAAAATAAATAAAAATATTTTTAAAAAAAAGAGAGCGAGAGAGAAGCCAAAAGACCATGATATTAGCTGAAATCATACTCATTCTCAACAGTCCTCTATAAAGGAAAGAGAAAGACCAAAATATTGAGATGAAATTAAATAAAGAATCTAGGGTTTGAATCAAACTATGAATCAAATCTTATGCCTAAAATCTACTAGCCCAGGATTCCGATCTGTTAAATAAAGACAATACATTCTGTCTTGTAAAACCCTTGTAAGAATTACAGCTTATAACGCATGTAAAGTCATTAACACAGCACCTGGCACAGAGGAGCTGCAAAATAAATGGCAACTAATTAGCTATCATTACTAAACTCTTAAAAGTAGATCAAGTCTCTTTTATAATTGTCATAAAAGTCTCACACCGCACAATTTCTCCTCAATGAATCTGAACCTAAGTGTTCAAATAGCAACCCCCAAATGTTAGTAGGATGTAGAGTAACTGAACTGTCACACATTGCTGGTAGAGTATAAAATGGTGCAATCACTTTGGAAAACTGACAGTTTTTTTTAAGTTAAACATATAAAAACCCTATGACCCACAATTCTACCCCAAGAGAAATCAAAATATAAAAAGTAAGTCCACAAAAACAAATTGGACACAAATGTCCATTGCAATTTCATTCAAAATATACAAAAATTGGAAATCAGTTTTTCAGTCAATATCAACAAGTAGAGATAAAAAGACTGTGGCTTATTCATACAATGGTAAACTACTCAGCAATAAAAAATGTCAAACTACTAAAAATATGTACTTTTGTGAAGACACAAAAGAATATATATATTGTATAATTCCATAGATATGTAATTCTAGAATAGGCAATGACCTATCTACAGTGACAGAAAGATTGGTGGTTGCCTGGGGTGAAGAGAGACTAAGAGCAAAGGGAGATGAAGGAACTTTTTTGCTATGAGGGACATGTTCTATATCTTGATTTGAATGGCAGTTACACAAATATATACACTTGTCAAAACCTAACTCATACTACACACTTGAAATGAGTACAGTTGACCTTTCAACAACACAGATCGGAAGTGCATGGGTCCACTTACCCATGGATTTTTTTCCCCATAAATACAGTGCAGTACTGTTTTCTTAGTAACATTTTTTCTCTAGCTTACTTTAAGAATACAGTATATAATACATAAGACATACAAAGTATGTGTTCATCAACTGTTTATATAATCAATAAGGCCTCCAGTCAACAGGAGTAGTTGAGTTTTGGAGGAGTCAAAAGTTGTACATGGATTTTTGACTGCATCAAGGGGTTGGTGCCCCTAACTCCCACATTGTTCAAGGGCCAACTGTATATTATTTTATGTAAATTATACTTTGTGCTCACTTCAGCAGCACATATACTAAAAAAATATATAAATTATACTTCAATAAAGTTTATCTTAAAGGAAAAAAACTCATTTTTCAAGTAAATAAGGGTCAATAGGGTATACTCATTAGCTTCAGAAAGTTGTGTCCCTTTTTCAAATTTTTCTATTTTCTATTTTCCTTTTAACTTCATGTCAATCTTGGCACTCTTTTATTTTGAGGCTGTATTCATTTTCTACTTGCCTAAAACTCTCACCAAAAAACTCCTAAAGCGTCCCAGGTGCTGTGACAAGGACTCTAGACTAGGAAAAGGATTCTTAGGGCCTTAAGTTTTCCATCTCCTGGCAGAAGTAATCAAAAAGTCAAACATATCTTCTAAACGGGAATTCCGCAAAGTTAAAAATAACTACCCTGAACAAACAGGAATCCTGCCTGAATTCTTACTGCACATCCCGTCTTTTCATAAAATTTCTTTTGCTAACTAACAGGAAATTCTTGATCATATATGCAGGTATAAATAAATACATTATTTTTTAAAGGATCACAATATTTTGAAAAATCATTAACTTATCATTATATATACTTTTAACTACCTGTACAAATACTATCTGAAAAAGAGCATCTTCACTAAACAGACTAAAACACTAAATGTCCAAGGGCTTAGTATATTTATCATCCAAGATTTATTATTCAGCAAAACTGTTATACCCTATAACCATTATAAGCAAGAGTATACTCTATATGCAAAAAAGGGGAGTATAAGCTTCAGAAAGACATTTAAACTCAGTAATCTATCCTACACTCCCTACCCCCACAAAAATAGCTTTACATCACTTAAAATGTTTAAGCACATAGGAACCCTAGAGGGAAGTTATAACAGAAAGAATTTAAAAACACTTGAAGTAGGTCCCTTCCAACCCTGATACTGACAGCATAAGAAAATCATCTCACATGTACAAAACGTTATTCTCCGTACTGATTTAAATTGGACTGAACTATATATAAAATCAGTTCTCAATTATCCATGCACAATCAAGTAGCAGTATAGATAATAAAACAAAAAATCAAACTTAGATCATACCCCCCAAATGCACTGCTTTTATTAACATTAATTTGCATCTAAAACATGTATCAACAGAAGAGGGAATGGAACGACAGTGAGCCTGAAAGGCAGGTAAATGGTAGAAAGAAGCCAGATTGAATTCAAGTCTGTCACAATGTATGAATCATATGTTATTTTGCCATAATAAAAATAAATAAGTAAATTTTAAAAATGATTGTATCATTTTTAAATGATTCAAAAGAGCTGGAGTCAAAAGAGCTGGACTGAATCATTTTAAAAATGATTCAAAAGAGCTGGAGTATAAAAAAAATTGTGTGGCCAGAGATATCCTTCTTAGCGATAAAAGCTCCAAGAGAACCAATTGAGATAGTGACATTGTGATCATAATGAGATTAAATAAAACATTCTTCCCAAATGTATATAGGTTTATGATTTTCACAGCATTTTTACCTATGTTACTACATATTATCCTCAGAGTAACGCTGCAAAGGAGGTATGATGAATATTTTTATCAAAGGGTATGACTCAAAGTCACAAGACTAGAATTAGGACTAGAACTCCAGTATTTGGTTGCTGCAAGTTGCTCTGTCTACCATAACACAAATGCATCTCAAGCATGTGATTTAAAAAGTCAAGCTAATACATGGGCGCCTGGGTGGCTCAGTCGTTAAGCGTCTGCCTTCGGCTCAGGTCATGATCCCAGGGGCCTGGGATCGAGTCCCACATCGGGCTCCCTGCTCGGCGGGAAGCCTGCTTCTCCCCCTCCCACTCCCCCTGCTTGTGT